CAACAGATGATGTAAGTTCATGTGTTCACCAGTCCTGTTGTGTCCAGAAGACATTATTGTGCCCTGGTCTTCCCCACCTCTCCCCTTTGTGATCTTTTTGCCTCCTCTTCCAAAATGTTCCCTGAGCCTCAGATATAAATGTTACATTTATGGCTGAACACTATGACCAGCTATGAGTTTCCTCATTAACCACCATCTGTTGCACAAAGAAACTTCCCTGATGAGGTCTGAGAGCTGCACCAGTCTATGGGTCTTGAGATGGGAATTCAGAGGGCTGTTTGGTACTGGGATAACTTGAATGTAACTGGCCCCCATAAACTCCTAAAGAATGGCACTACTGGGCAGTGTGGCTTTGTTGGAGTAGATATGGCCTTTTGGAGGAAGTGTGTCACTGTAGAGGCAGGCTTTGAGGTCTCATATGTGCTCAAACCACACCCAGTGTCTTAGCTCACTTCCTGTTGCCTGCCGATCAAGATGTAGGACTCTTAGCTCCAGCACCACGTCTGCCGGCATGCTGCCATGTCCCACCATGATGATAATGGACCAAACCTCTGAAAATGTAAACCACCCCAATTAAATGTTTTTCCTTTGTAAGAATTGCTGTGGTCATGGTGTCTCTTCATAGCAATAAAAATCCTAACTAAGATGGATACTATGTCTGTCTAGTAAAATAGTAGTAGTGGGTTTATTCCTGGGACCTGAGAACTCCCCGGCCAGGGGTTCTTAGCAAGATTTATAGCACTAGGCATGAGTTTCTTCCAGTGGCAAGGACCTTCAATATGATCAGAAAACAGCTGGTTGCTTCCATAACATCTGTGCCATTGTTGCCCACATGGGCATATCTTGCCACATTGGTCATTATTGTAGCTCTCAGGGTTCATAGTTGGGTAAAACTGTTGACTTTTCTCTCCTAATAGGCTATATAGCACTTTCTGTTATTATAGAAACTGGCCAGCATGGAGGAAGTGTGCAGGTCAGTACCAACTTGATTTCTTCATGCCTTGTGACCAAAGTATTTGGTGCCTACTTAACTTAATAAGACTATAGCTTATTTTCTGAATCTAAATTAATATTTGCACCTTTGATTCTAATTTAAAATTTTTAAATATTATTTTTCTTAAAGTGAACCATGAAAACACACACACACACACACACACACACACACACACACACACACATCCCTTCTTGCCCTTGAAAGGAGAGAATGACATTCAAGAGAAATGTGAAACATGTATTTTCATACCAGTAATGGAGGGAAAAAATAATACGATAAAAATCCCAACAACAAAATAACCCAAAGTAGGAAACCTAGAAATAGCTAAATGCATTGCTTACACACAGAGAATAACTCAAGCTCTAGATTTGCATCCCATTCCTCAGCTCATTTCCTTCCAGTGTCAGGAGCATTCCTGGGAACCAGCTGAACAAGAGGAACTGAATCGGCTTCCAGGAAATGACCCTGAAGGCCCAGTCAGGGACAGCACTATCGCAATGTGGAGTTCAGGCTAGACCCTGGGCCTGTGGGCAAAGGATGGGCTTCATCTTCACCTTTGGTCTCAGAAGACAGCTTGTCGCCTATAGAGGGTGCTGCCCTTCATTGAGGGGTGAACCTGGAACCCTTCAGCTTGTTTCTTTTTCCCACAGGCAGATACAGGTGTTTTGAGATGCTGTGTCTTTCTGTTGTTGGCTGTGTGGTGACTGTGTATGGTAGACATAGAGCCCTTTCCCAGCTATGGCCCTATCAGTGACATCCCGGATCTGTCCATTACTCTGGTACTGATTCACTCGTAATGCAAGGAGAGACTAAAATGGGTTTCCTGGATAAACCCAAAACTTTCCCACTACCTCATCAACCCTAACTCCATATTGTCCACATTCAAGACTATTTCTTCTCTTGACGTTCTATACCACAGCTCCAACATCAGCCGATGACTTCTTTCCTCACTGACAACTCTCAACTCCACTTTGTATTCTCCTAAGCTGAGTCTGCCTTGAAAGTCCTCCACCACCCAGAGTCAAGATCCAGAAGCTCTACACCATCCTAGCAGCTCACAGACTCTCGTGGGCTCCATTTCCCCTCCCATCTCTTTGGCCCTGTCCTTTCTGGTTGGGAAGACTTACTGTCCATGGTGTAGTTTCTTTGATGGAGATTTATTTCTCCTTTCTGTTAAATCATTTCTCATCTTTCCTGTTCTGTTTGGTTCTGTTGTGGATTCTTGGTTTCACGGCCCATAGTTCGATCTTTCTTCTACACAGGACCTGCTCCCAGATCCAGGCCAATGTCAGCTCTTTGGAGACCCACTGCCAAGAACAGGCAACTGGACAAGGAGCAGTTTGGTCCATCTATATTTTTGTGCTCAAATAATCTCAGCCACATTTCATCCCTCACTCTGTAGAACCTCCAAGGCTTACCTTTCCAACACTGTGCTTTCCCAAGAACATACTCTTCAGAGCAAGAATTCTCAGATATAGGGATCCTAACCTGGAGGACAAATGATCCTGGTACAAGGAGCAGTTTCTACTACTAAAGTGACATCTCAGCTTGAAACATTTCAAGGTGGGCCATTCTCTCACAACACTGAGTGGGCATTCCCTCCAGGACCAAAGAATGGGTAGAAGATATTCTAACATCTATCTTGTGAAGCAAAAAAAGATCTTTTTGAGATCTCAAAGTGTTTGACTTTGCAGCTTCCACATACTGAAAGTCCAGTTATCACCACACCCTCCACATGCAGAAGCTTCAAATGCGGGAGGAGGCGGGGAGTGGGGTGACTCTGGGTGTTGAGCACCACAAGTTTGTAGAGATAAAGGAGTATTGTCAACATACTTAGCTTATCCTTACATCTTCCAAACATTAGGTGGCGCTTTCTTCCACAGCCTCAGGAATGTAGCAATGGTTGTGTACATGGACTCTGGGTAGCCAGACAAACAATGGACCATTGTCATTACCATCATACCATGAAAGCAGAATCCATGGTAGGAGTATGATGCATGTGTCTCCCTGTGGGTCTTCTTCCATGAAATGCCAAACATCTCTAGCCCCACATGGAGCCACCCACAAGTGAGAAGGGACTGTCACATGGCAGACTCGGGATTTAGGGCTGCTTGGCCCAAGTCTGCTCTTATTTCCCGTCATCCAGAACTGCAGAGACCACTCGTGGTGCACTCTGTGGTGTGTATCAGCTTGCTTAGGGATAGCCTAGGAAGTAGAGGGAGCAGAAGGGTTCTTCCCCATGATTTACATGGCAGAAAAGCCTGTGTTTCCTTTTGGGGGGTTCTCAATGAGACTCTTACTGGTGATGAGTAGAAAATAATTTTTCTAGTTTCAACTTGGTCTGTGAAAAGTGAAAGGCTGCCAGTTAAAGACACTGCCCAGGGCAAATTTATACACTTCAAAGAATTCTTATTTTCAGCCAGTGGAGACATGAAACCCCAGAGTCTCAACTCTCTTTCAGTTCCTAATTGTCAAGTTGCTGATGGTGCAGTCTCTCCTAGAGTTTGTTTGGAGAAAGCAGCAAATGCATGAAAAGGGAAAACTGTATTTTACTTAAATAAGCTCCCTGAATCCACGGAGTGTGTGATTAAGCGGCCATGTTGGGACCAGAATCACTTTACATTCCTGAAGGGTGACACTTTGGAACTTGGTCTCAGGCCTGGCAACAGCCCGGACCAAAGACAGGGAAGAAGAATTCAAAAGTAATAGAAACTTGGTGGAGGGTGGGAAGGCAGGCAAACCGATGCTGTGGGGACAACTGGCTGCCTTTGCTTAGCCACATGACTCCAGGGGGGTAAGAATGAGGCTGTTCCATGCAGCAGGCCTTCCCCAGGACCTGCCACCAGCCAAGTATCCCATGCAAGGAACATCAGGAAATGCCACAGGTACCAGTTACCCACCCTTGAGCTTTCTCTATTCACCTTAACCCAGGGCTTTCTGCCACGTGGACATATGACTCTCCTTCCTTCTGCAAGAATGAAACAAGCATTTATAGCTGCCAACTGGGGAGGTCTTGGGGGAACCATGGGGGAAATGGATGTGTACAATCCACCATAGGGGAAGGATCCATTGATGTCACCAGCTGCTCAGGAGGGCATCACAGCAGAACTAACATTTATGTGGGGCTCTGGAGGTTGACTCAGTTTGCTGGTGGGCAAGGACAGAACAGATTTCAAGCAGAATGGGCATCAACCACTATTCATGGATTTATTCCTAAGTGGGTTTTATTGTATCCCCAGTTGCAACCCGGAGCCTGTCCTTGGGTACTTCCAGTCTAGTGAGGACTATCCTTGAAAGTACTCCACATGTGTGTGAGCGGGTGGCTTGGTGAAGATAGTGGGCTGGTGGGAACCCCAGAACTTCCTTAGGAGCAAGAGGCCAGGTTAAATGTCATCTAAAGACAAGGAGGGCACAAGTCAAGAAAGCCACTTACAGATGCAGGAGATACAAATATTAGACAAAAGAGTGTGAGATAATGTGGGTGACAGGAGCGTGGTCAGGAAAGGAGGAGATGGGAGTGAGGCAGAGGAAGTTATAGCTTTGAGTGTCAGGAAGCAGAGAGATGACTCAGACAGGAACTAGGTTCAGCTGTCATCCATAAAGCCGCCCTCAGAAACTCACTTCCCCCACTGAGGCCCCACCTCCTAAGGATGCTACAACTTTCTCAAACAGGGCACCAGCTAGAGATCAAGTGCTCAGACACATGAACCTATGGAGGCCACATCACATTCCAACTGTAGCAAGAACCATTAAGGATTTTAATCTGAGGAGCAAGAACTTTGATTTTCAAAACTAATATATCTGGCTGGAGAGATGTCTCAGTACTTAAGAGCAATGATTGCTCTTTCCAGGGATCTGGGCTCCATTCTCAGCACCCACATGGCAACACACAACCATCATTAACTCCAGTTGCAGGGGATGTGATGCCCTCTCCTGGCCTCCAAAAGTGCCAGGCACACATGCTTGCAGGCAAAACACTCATACATATAAAATAAAGATAAATAAATCTTTAAAAATAGAGCTGATGTGTTTTATTCTTCAAGCACATAAATATACCTGTACATTAAGTAAAACTCAGAGAATGTGGAAAGCATAGTTATTATGATTAAATAACATTTAAGAAAAATCAGATGTATGCTTTCAGTTTTATTTGCTACCTTGAAGCAATGCTAAACACATTGTGAGTGTGACATCTTTTCCTATTATAGACACTCTGCAGTTGATGAAGGATGAAGAGAGGGGAAGCAAGGTGAGGTCACTCTGAGCATCCAGATGAGGCAGGAAGTCCCACCTGGAAAGGAAGAGAGCTGGAATCAGGTGGAACTCAAGTGGAAGCTTCTTCACAAGGTCACCCAATGGTCACAGTCTAACTGAAGGTCCACTATGAAGAGAATGCCTTTACTAGGCAGTGTTATCTGAGAGATTTAAAAACTATCGTGAAAACAGTCTTCACAGCCAGAAGCCATTACTCATCTTTTCTTCAGCTTCCTCCCACAATGCCTGATGTGCTCCCCTCTGGTAGGCGGAGCCGAGAAGTCAGAGTGAACAACCTGTGAGTTCCGGGTATATGTGTACAGCCTTGATGTGTGAGGTTACTGTCTTGCTCTAGGAGACCAGAAAATTCTAGTCTTGAAGCCTTGACCTCGTCTCTGTGGTGTTGGTGACTTCAAACATACAGCACACTGTGACTTCTAGAACCTTCCACATCTCTGGAGGAAGGAGTCTTGAAACTAAAACTCTACCTGGTGATAGGGGAGCAAGGGTCACAGTTGGCTGGAAGAAAAGGGTTCAGACCTGCACCAATCTTAGCCAATGCACCCCTCAATGGATGCCTCATGTGTGTGTCCCTAAAGTTAGGAACCAGCTCCTGTTGATTTAACTATCGGAGAAATTAGAGGCAAGGCTAACACACAGGCCCCTCAGCACACCATGCTCGGCCTGGGAAAGCCCAGTGTATAGAAACGGTTATGGGTAATATTTGTAAAATTTAATTTAGTGAAACAAATCACTCAGAAGCAATCATTTTCATTTCAGGGAAAGGGAGTAAGAGAGAGCGAGCCACTGCCAGAGAGAGATAATTCTTCCTTTCCTATTTCACCTACTTCTTATCTGAGAAATTCAAAACTTACACCACACTGGGGAGATTTGCACTTCCACAACAGTCAACCTTTTGCCAACCCTGGCATCAGAGAGCTTGAAAATGAAAGTCTAATCTGCTGAGAGTGCATTTATACTCAGCTCTTCAGGAACAAATGGACCATGCGGAGAAAGATGGGTCTCAAATCATCTCCCAGCCCGAGTACATGGGGCAAGTATCATTTCTCAGCCGGCTTGTCACTGGTTTCTCTGTCTCGGGCACTTTCTGAGCATGTGCTCCAGGCCACAGGTGGGGGCAGAACACCTGGTTTTACCTGGCTGCCACTTTGCATTGTCTGGAGCATGGTGTGTTCATGGAGAGCAATTGCCCTGCACCCGGGATCCAGGAGATCTAACCTTGGCTGCATTGTTAAGCCAGCCCCTGTGATAACGGCTGACCGGAGAGTCGGGTTCTCTGCAGTGACATTGCTGTCCTCTGCAGAATGTTGAGTGACCGCCCGAGGGACACTGTGCAGGCTACGGTGCACACACTAATTACAAGTCATTCCACTCTCGCCTGTCCCAGTGTCCCCAAGTGCCGCCACAGCCTACAGTCGGTCCCTTTGTTGGTGAGGTATAGCATTGCTTAGTCTGTTCCGTTTGTGTATCTCCCCCACAACCAGATGTAGGTTTCCAGGACCCAGGAACTGTGTCCTTTATGACTTTAATATCTGTGGAAGGTAGTTCACAGCCTCATCAGCATGCCGCTCGCTGGACCAGATGAGACTGCTTATAAAAGCATCAAGTGCACTAAAACACAAGATGTTTTTATGGCATTGTCTAGGCCGGCTTTTCTGAGCCCTGGGCTATCCAGATGTTTGCCTCAAACACAGGCCTGACAGAGGTGCTCAGCTGCCAACTCCCCCTTCCTTCCAGATGGCAAGTTCTTAGGACTTTCAGCCAAACTGTTGGGCTTTCAGGGCTGTTATATCCCACCAGAGACCTGGATTGCCACATGTCCACAGACTGTGATTTCTGTGTACCAACAAAGCACTTCGTCATTTAAAGCTGATAATGTACCTGCCACTTCACGGGGAAGCCCATGTGTGTGGAGGAGCAGCTGGGGTGGAAGGCATTTCTCCCACGTGGTTGAACCCATCTGCTTTCCTTAACACATAGTCTTACAGTGTGATTCTGTTCATCTCCAAAAAGCAGCGGAAGGGAGAGGGGGCAATGTATATGCTCCCTGCCTGAGAGACAGGGAAGACCTTTCTAACTGTCCAGGCCAATAGAAAACCCTGGAAGGGATGGAGCACAGCTGCTGAGGATGGGTCATGAGAGGTGGACCACCGCATAGTTCTCTTATGGGATCGCCATTATATTTGATAACACCCAGGGCACATAGAGTTTCCACATGAGTGCTCTGACTCCGGCTCCCACTGCCGCTCCAGCTGGCAGACACATGCGACAGGAAACACGGGGAAGATGGCAAAACCCTGCCTTGCAGTCTTGCTTCTGAAGCCCCTGAACTCATAAGCAGACATAAGCCATCCCTGCCATGGCCTGCGTGAATGACAGACAGGCTCACAAGCATCTGAGAAGGAACAAAGGATGATTGCTGATTAGGCCACGACATTTTGACATGTGACAGCAGAGAACTAACGACAGACTTCTCGGCCATCGTTTTCATCAAGATGAGAAGCATAAGAGTGGGATTTCCACCTGGCGACAAGACTCAGGTCTGTGCTGAAGGTGTGTTGACACACCAGGTGTCTGGCTTTGCTTGGGGCTGCTGGAGACAGGTGAATGGGCAGCTGCCATCACCTATATGACTACACCCGTGCATGCATTTCTAAAATCTCTATTGACCCTACAAATATACTTAGTGGGCCTCCCATAACTTCCCTCAAAGCTCTGTAGCTTGTCCATAATGACAGTTAAATAAGCTGCTATGTTAAGAACATGACATGACCTTGCACCTACAACATTATCAGGGGTCCAGTGCGTATGGGGTGTGAGATGAGGCAGGGCAAATCCACTTATACTCACCGAGGGCTCCCATATTGTATTAACGTTGGACGTTATCCCAGCTCCTTCTCTAGAAGCTAAAGTCTGGCTAGAAACAAAGCAAGTAATAATGTTTTTGGAGCCCGAAATGGTCACAATTGCCAATATTTTGTGTTGATGTTAGACATCTGGAAGAAGGCAAAAGGGTCACGCATGACATCACAATGGCAGTCAAGAGTTCCAGAGAAGAAATGGCTTCAAAAAAAAGTGTTCAGTGTTCAGTGGACCAGGAGCTGCGGGGTCCAGGGTACAATGCAGAGTCTGCTGTGCCCCTTAACAATGATGTAAACAAGTGACCTGCCACGGACTGGCAAGGTACCTGCTGTGGGCTTTGACGCTTTCTTCTCTGGAGACTCCCTGGGAAAGCAGCAAGGCTTTTCAGAAGGGTCACACTTATAAGAAGTGGGTTAGAAGCAAACAGAGGGAGGGAGAGGAAAAAATAAAGGGCCAGGATGTTATTTACTCCTCGGGGGATGGCGCTTGTGCTTGTCCTGTGATTCCCACAGTCTCCCTGCCTTCCCCAGAGCCCAGGAGGTGTGTGATCTCTGGTTCACCATTAAATGAGCTGAGATAAACAAGTCTGGGGCTGAGGGTCTCTCAGGGATCTACTGCTGTAAGGATAGAAAGTGGATGTGGAATGTGGGGTTACACCCTTCCTCGGGAACATTGGGAAAATCTGCTATGATCCCTGGGAAAAAAAAAAAAAAAAAGCCTGTGGGCTCTTTTCAAAGTTTTAGAGTGAACAGAGAAAAGGGGTGGAGTGAGTTTAAGGCTGGAGAGAGTCTTTGCCTTTTATAGTTAAATGACCAAAGTGACCAGGAACAGCAGACTTTTGTTCTCTGTGATGAAGTTGTGAGCTCTATATAAAAGGAAGAAAGAGGAGAGAGAGAAGGAGATGGAAGGGGAGGAGGAAGGAAGGAAGGAAGGAAGGAAGGAAGGAAGGAAGGAAGGAAGGAAGGAAGTTGGGTGGGTAAGGAGATGAAGAGATGTGGGAGGAGTTGGGTGGATAGGATCAAAATGCATCGCATGAAATTCTCAAAGGATTAGTAAAAATATTACTTGGAAAACATCTTGATTTAGCCTCATTAAGCATATGAATAGTTTAGGAAGACACGGTTATTTCCATTACAATGTTCACTTTTGAACGAACTTACTAACCACTGACCATTTGTCCCAGCTTGTTATTTAGAGCATCAGGCACTAAGCCAACCACGTATAGAGGGCATATCAAAAGCACTCTGAGAGGCTGTGTACAGAATCCATCAAAGACCAGGTGAACTGGAGATGCCCTGTCAGTGGGACCACTGGAGCTTGAACAGGGCAGCGTTAGGATGGCACATCTTTAGAAACTTCTGGGATATGATGGCAAAGTAGAAGCTGCCTCTGACACTTGCTCAACTGTGTTCATTGCTGCTCTATTCATCTAGCAAGAAACTGGAAACAACATAGATGTCCCTCAACAGAAGAATGGATAAAGAAAATGTGGTACATTTATACAATGAAGTATTACTCAGCCATTAGAAACATGACATCATGAAATTTGCAGGCACATGGTTGGAACTAGAAAAAAAAAAATCGTCCTGAGTGAGGTAACCCAGACCCAGAAAGACAAATACGATATGTACCCACTAATATGTGAATATTAGCTATTAGGTCAATGATAACCAAGCTAGAATCCATAGAAGCACAGAGGGTAGGTATAGAGTAAGGGACTAGAGGGAACAGACAGATCTCATTAGGAAAGAGAAATAGAATAGATGTTTACAGATGGATGGGGAGAGCTAGAATGGGAAGGTCAAGTGGGGATAGGGAGGGGAGAAGGGATTGTGGGAAAGAATATGGGGAAAGACAGCTAAAATTAAAGGAACATTTAAGGAGTAGTATGGAAACCTAAAATGTACATATGAAGGTGATCTAAATGAAATCACCAAATATTGGGAGACAGAGACCCAAGTGGCCACCTCTTGTCACCAAATGAAGTTTCCAGTACTGTGAAAGGGTTACACCTAATTGTGTTCCTGGCCAAAAGCGTCCCATGGGAACTCCCAAAGAACCCAGGCTATTGCCAAGACAATAGATTGCTCTTCACAAATTGACAACAAGGCCCCATTACTAAAGACAACACTCATACAACTCATTGAACACGGATGTGTTGAGCTGGTACCTACGTAGAGATGTCACCCCTATGTTCCAGCTATCAAAAGAGGAACATAAACACTGAGCCAGCTGCAATTCCTTTATCTACAATGGTGTACAACCTGCAAGATGTGCTAGGGCAATGGTAGCACAGAGCATATGGGAGTCACCAACCAATAACTGATCTGACTTAAGACCCACTTCACAAGACGAAACCCATATCCAACACTGCTTGGGTGACCAAGAACCCGAGACTGGATAGTCCAGGGACCTAGGGCAAAACCAAGTAATACTGATCTAAAGAGAAAAAGGAAAGAATAAAGAAAGAAAAGAAAAAACAGTGATATAATGATGTCTAATGATATTCTGCTATTCTCATTGCCTTGTTCAACCATCATCAGAGAAGTTTCCTCCTGCAGTAGATAAAAACAAAAATAGAGACCCACAGTGAGATATTACACAGGGAGTGAGAGACTTTGGACCACTCAGCCCTAAATGGGGTGTCTCCATCAAATCCCTCCCCTCAGAGCTCAGGAAACTGTACAAAAGAGAGGGAAAGAGTCAGAGGGGATGAATGACACCAAGAAAACAAAGCCCTCTGAATCAACACGAGCAAAGCTCATATGAACTCACAGAGACTGAGGCAGCATGCACAGGGCCCACACAGGTCTGCACCAGGTCCTCTGCACTTACATGATGGCTTCCAGTTTAGTGTTTTTAATTGGATTCTTGAGCATGTGAATGACTGGATCTCTGATTCTTGTTTACTCTCTTGGGCTCTTTTCCTTCTGCTGCTCTGTCTTGTCTGACTGCAATCCTATAGTTTATTTTATTTTGTTATATTAAAATGAACGAATGACTATAAGCCTAGCCACCAAGTCCCAACCTTCCTAATGCTGCAACCCTTTAATACAGTTCCTCATGTTTTGGGGACTCCCAGCCATAAAATTATTTTCATTGCTACTTCACAACTGTGATTTTGCTACTGTTATGAATCATAATATAAATTTCTGATATGCAGGATACCTTATATGTGACCCCCAAAGGGGTCACAACCCACAGGTTGAGAACTGCTATACCAGGGTAAAGACTAACAATAGAACTATCATTTATACCTTCTAGGAGAGGGAAAACCAGTTTTCTCCAATAGAGTGAAACTGTGTATATCAACCATTCCAGGGCAGATCTCATGTTTAGGAGTAGTTGATAAACAAATAATGTTGTTATTGTTTGATTTGATTTTTTTCTTTTTCTTTCTTGTGTGTGTGTGTGCATGTGTGCAAGTGTGCATGCATGCGCACACATGTGCACATGCACTTTTATTTGGTTACAGTTTGGTGGGGTTTCTTGGGGGTGATGTTGTATTTTGTTTTACATTAGATTCTGGACATTTTGTTGTTGTATTGGGTTTTTGGTGTGTTTTTTGAAAAAGCACTTAAAGTTGGGAGGGTAGGGAGGAGATGATCTTGACGAACTTTGAGGAAGGGAAGAATATACTCAAAATATATTGAAATTTAAAAATTGTTTAAATAATAAAAATATTAAAAAGAAGCTGCCTTTGAGTGGAAACATGAAAAAGGAGAGTCAGAGGATTGAAGCACCAAGAGAGGAAGAGTACTGGGAATTACAAAAGGGATGACAAGGCAGCCGAAAGGCAAGGAAACACATCAGGTTGTCCAGCACAAACCTGAAAGCAGCCTGTGGCTGCAGGTGCTACCTGAGAAAGGTGGAAGAAGGGGAGCCAAGAGCACAGCCATAGTTCAAGCGCAATCCCAGCTGCAAGATGAGAACACTTTCTCATGAGCCCTGACTCTAGTGTGGCTACTTGAAGTGACAGTTTGAAATTAAGATACTCTTGAGACCTGAAAATAAGTAACAACCACAAATGAGGGAATCCAGGGGCACCCTGCCACAGGGGCTGGGCAGAGACACTGACATGAGGCCATTGTTAATAAGGGGAGAGGGCCAGATCTGGACAGTCTGGAAGTTCACTCTCCAGGACTCTCAGGTTGTGAAGGGCATTGGAGCCACACTTCCCACCCTCACCATGTACAATGTTGTGTTTTAAATCCTGCGAGTAGATAACTGCCAACAATTATTGTTTCTAGTAAAGATATCTCTTAAAATTTATAAAAAAAATAGAGATAATCCAAGATAAGTACATATTAAAACATTGCTGCCTATTAAGGCAAAATTGTAGAAGACACTCAAAGGAATGCTATGCACAGAGGAGGGAAAAATGGCAGCCACAGATGTGAAGAATTTAGAAGGGAAGATTTAATAAAAAGAATAAATGAACAAATGAGAATTAGACAATACATAGACATACCAACTCAGTAAACCAATAGACCCCTACTATGAACAGGGGTGTAGCTTGATTTTTTCGCCTTGCCCACTGTCAGGACAAATCTCTGTC